GGTGGTGAACCTCTCCCAGGTCACCGCTGAAATCTCTGCAAGAGTGAAGCTCGCCGTCACAAACTTCCACCAATCCTTCGCTCCCAAGCGAAGCTGGTTCAACGCGAACCGTACCCTCAGATGCTCCTGACATGAACACGTGTAGAAGCATCCCTCGATATCAGAAATCCATCTCATCACAGCGATCGGATCCTGCGTCCCGTCAAACTCTGGTGGCTTCGTGTTGCTGAACTCCCGAAGCAACAACGAGTCACCTCCGTGAGGTCTGGCAGCAGCCACTGCTGCAGTAGCCGCAGCCTCAGTCACTGCTGTGTACCGCTCATCAAAAGTCTCAATCAATGTGGTCTTGATAGACCCAATCATCTCCGGAATCTCGGCCCGAATCGCCGCCGCCACCTCATCGTGGATCATCTGACGAAGCTCCTCGTCACTCACGCTGCTCGGCTCAGGTATGTGGCGTGTCCCAACCATACTGCCTCTGAAATACAACATAATAATATCAGAGACCCGCTCGAGCGTACTCGCACTCGATAACTCAACCCTACTTGTTCTCTAGTACCCAAAGGATTCTTACTTAGAGTGCGCACTGCTCCGGTGTCTTCAGTAGTACGGGCCCTATACTACCGTCCACACCACATTAGTATTCACCCTAAGTCCTCCTCCTTGGATCCCAGATCACGAATACTTTATATCTTGCTGGCATAGGCTACCCTTCGGTAGACCTCTCATCAGCTCCTCACTGCTACCTACTCGCTCTCAAGCATCAAAATCCTTCCTAGGCTAAGGCATCACAAAATCAGGCCACTCTAGTCCTAATATGAATACCTAGCCAACTCTAGCATGCATATCATATCATAACATATCTCATAACACATAATGTAAGGGTATTTTGGGAAATCACCGTTCGGGCGCTGGCTGATCGTACACACTGCTTCCTTATGCCTTTCTCCAAATCTTTTGCTCTTTTAGAAAAATTGTTTATTTTATGAAAAACTTTCTCAATTCCTCAGTTTGAGTTCAGGTTCATCCGAAGATGCACCCGAATCCCTCAAACCAAGGCTCTGATACCAACTTGTAACGACGTAATTTTTCAAAACAATTTTTTCATTTTTAAATCATACTTTCAACCACATGAAAAATGACAAAACATAATGTATCACTGTGTCATAACAAAGCATGTCCCCAAAATCTCAATAACATAAACTCCATAAGTGTGTACGGATCATGCCGGCGCCTTCCCGCGATCCTCGCTAGTACCTGAAACACATAACACAACAACTGTAAGCATAAATGCTTAGTGAGTTTCCCAAAATACCACATACCACACATACGCCTTTCCAGGCCATAACTCTGTAGGATCTTCCGATCCATGTGTCTCAGGGACTTCCGTCCCAAATCCCGTTAGACCTTCCGGTCCTACCCGTATCGACCTTCCGGTCCGTAACCTCTTGACCTTCCGGTCCATATCATCTTGACCTTCCGGTCCATACCATACATAACATACATAGCACATACATATCACATAACCGCATATAGCACATACATCTCATAGCATACAAGACCTTCCGGTCACACATAAGTACCCTTCCAGGTACAGTATAGTGAGAAGACTCACCTCGGGTAACTCGGTAAAATCTGTTCTAGCCTCCGCCTAATCACACGGAATAAGCACTCTAATCAATACAACTCTCAAGGCTAGACTGTTCCCTCTCTTAGCACTCTCAGAAAGGTAAAAGACCATTTTACCCCTCTCATGGCTCAAAGACCCAAATGTTGACCAAACCCTAAAAGTCAACAAAAGTCAACTCTCCGGGTTACGCTGCGCGTACCGAACCTGTACGCTGGGCGTACCCGGCGACCTCACAGAAACGGGGTGCGCGACCCCTTACGCCGCGCGTACTGGGATTACACCCCTCGTAACTCCCAGTTTCAGACTCTAAGCTCTTGAGGTCTTAAACAGTTAAGTCCCACGTCCAACTTCTAGATCTGACCATTTCTAAACATCTTAATCCATAAAGTTGGTGACTTTAAGCCTGTGCATGGCTGGACAAGTCACTAACACCCATAACATTCCATTTCCCAACTCTAGAAAGCTCATAATTCAAGCATGACCTCATAACAACGACCAAGATGGAATTTTTATGGATCTATAACACAAATATCACTGAAGTGGGACAGATCTAGGTCCATGGAGTACATTACACTCATAAAGTCTCCACTTTTGGGACTTTTAACCCTAGAAATGGTCCATGCAACATTAAACCAAATAAAGAGGAAAGTTTTGAACTTTATACCTCTAGATGAAGCTCCTTTCTCTAAAGATCTCAGATCCAAACTTCCACTTCAAGCCCTAGCCTCCACAAGCTCTTCTCCTTCTTCTTCACTAACACACCAAGACACTTTTAGCTCCAAAATACACACACTCAAGCTAAGGACGGTGGAAGGCTCTCTCTTAGGGTTTCACTCTCTGATATGGAGGCTGAGAAATGAGCCTTAGCATCCTTTAAATAGTGCACAAGCCAAACATTTAGGGTTTGCATCTGGACCCGTTACGCCCAGCGTAACCCTGGGTACGCCCAGCGTACCCAGGCGAGTCCGCGTCCAAATTAAGCGCATGAGTACGCGCAGCGTACTCCCCAGTACGCCCATCGTACTTATTTGCTACAAGAACTCTCTCAAGGGACCAATCTTGACAACTTGACAAAATGGAAGGGTTAAATAGCTTTACCTGAATTTCGGGATGTTACAAAAGTGTACCCTAAGATACCCACAATGTTATTTGCATATGATGATTATGATATAATTACATGCTAGTTTGTAGGCTAGGAATCCTCAGGAATTGCATGATAGAATTGTTTGATGGAATTGACATCATTATTGTTGTTGCTTAGTGTGTGCATCATAGTTGTACATAATTAAGATTTTATAACTTGAGAATGTTTGATTTAGCCTTATTTCATGTTCAGGGTAGAATCAAGTATTCGACTGTCTATGGGATCCAACATTATGTATGATTAGCATTCACGAGTAGCTGCAGCGTTGGTGGGAGTTTCATGAGTGAGTACAGTTTATAGCGGGCCAGCGTGAGGAATGATTAGTCCCTCTTGAGAGAGTAAATATAAGATATATGTGTATCCTAAATGTTTGGGCCTAATGGTAAACAGGGAAAAATGGGCAAAATCGTCATTTTTACCGGCAATTCATGTTTTTCGTTAAAAAAATTAGTATGGGACTTATTTGTAAATTATGATAAAATAATGGGACTTTAATGAATATATCACTTTACAGTTCTTCTAGAAACTTGGTATTTAAATAATCTCACATTTTAGAGGTCATTATCTTCGAATCTAAGGAGATTTCGTCTTAATTTAAATCAACATTAGTTTTTAATTTGGATTTTTATCGAATATTTAAGAGGTTGTTTAATAGTATCTAAAATTTTGAAATATAAACTTTTAAGAGGACTGGATTTTATAAAATGCTCTGAATTTTTAAGATCTAAATGTTTAAAATGTCGGAGAGAGCAGTGAGAGGGAAAATAAATTTGTCGTGTGAAATAAAAAGAAAGAAAAGTTTGCTGAAAGATTAGGTTATTTCGGGAACACGCTCCACTTTTTTATCCATTCACAACTAACTTTCGTAATAATTAAGAGGCTGTTGAACAATTAAAAGACAAAAATTAAGAGGTTGTCAAACGCTCTGAATATTCAGAAAAATTAATATTATATCTCTTAATTGAAAATATAAGAGGCTACCAAACAACCCTAAGCCTTTGGAAATAATTGAACAATAACATCGTTTTTTGAAAAAATTTAATTCAAAGAGATTTTTTTAAACTTTTAATAGTTGATGAGAAATATTAATAGTATTTGTGGTTAATATAATAAAACAACTTATATATTGTGTTTTTTTTTCGGATTAAATATCAATTTTTTTTTTAAATGACCTTGTATTTTTCGACTTACCCACTTTAGTAGTTTTTAACCGAAACAACTTGTTAAATGCAAACATTTTTTTTCAGAAAAAAAAAGGTTGAGAGTTTTTTCGGGAAAAAAAGGCTTAGAGTTTTTTCTGGAAAAAAGTAACAAGAAAAAATGATGTTTAATACTTAAAAACCTAATATATAAAGTGTTATATATATATATATATATATATATATATATATATATATATATATATATATATACCAAAGTTTTCGTTTTGTTATTTTACCAATAATAATTTACTTTTATTGGAATTTACATCGGATTAAAGATATATATGAGACAAAAGTAATATTTCAGTATCTTATTATCATGGGTTTCATGTCCTCTCAATATCTCTCTTAAGTAGCTAAATTTCATTTATTAACATTACATCATCATAGTATGAAAAAGGGCAAATATCGAAAATCAAGTCAAAGATCATTAAACTCGCATATTCATTCAGTAATTGACATAAGTACGAAACACCGCATAATAACTGTTTTATATTAACAAAGTCAACATATATTGAGAAAATAGAATAAGCAAAAATACCATTTCACCCCCCAAAAGTTTATAAAACCCCACCCCCAATTGAATCAGACCATCATCTTCCTCACGAAAAAAGACCTGTAAATTTAATGCAACTCATGGACTTCTCTTGATATCAACTCCAACCTATAAAGATATAAAAGTACAACTATTATTGCTGTTAATACAACTATTTTCCATAGTCTATCTTAGCTATTTCCATTCTTGTTTTTGTTGCTTCCAGACCAGCATCTTGCAGATTCATCAAGGCCGTAGCTTTCTGTTTTCTGGGCCACCATAGGAATTCAGATTCAAGAACAAGGATGGAAATAGCAACCTTTCAATTATAATTCGTAAGAAGAAAACAACAAAATTAAGAAGGGAAAACAAGCTAATTGTAGAATCTTGGATCATGGGTTCAAGAAATTGACAGAAAAGATTTAGAGAGAGAAACAGAGGGTCCGACGCAATTTGGTGAAATGGGTGGTGAAAAAGAACTGGGAGTTTTCAATTGTGAAGTGGGTTGGGTCCAGAAGGGACTAATCTTTTTGCTACGCCGTATCTTGGATCGATTTCTTCAGGTGGTGGCGGCGGTTGGAGGTGCTGTGGCGGGAGTGGTGGCTGGGGTGGGCGGCGAGGGTGGAGCGTTTGGGTTTGGAGGCAAGGAGGATGTGGGTGTTTTGGAGTGGAGATAGTGGCGGTGGCGCAATGATGATCATGGAGTCGGTGGTGAATGGAGGTTTCCGGCGATTTCTTGGAGGAAGTGAAGGGGATTAAGAGAAGTAGTAATAAGAGCAAAAGGAATTTCCAGAGTGGTGGAGGAGTTGAGGAGAGAGTGTTCTTCATTTTCGTGTATTTTTGGGAGAGACACGGTGATGGTGAAACGGAGGAAGTATTTATAAGAGAGATGGCGATGGTGGAAAGGAGAGAGGGAAAAAAAATTATATTTATTGATTTTAAAACAATCACTTCATATTTAATAGTAATTAGAATTAATCAATTAAGAGTAATAAAACATGGATTTTTGGATTTCTGTTATTTCTTTAGTTATTCATCAAAATAATATGTCAATATGGTCACATTTTATGTTATATAACAATACAATCATCTATTTCTGCAATATAATTTTTGAATTCGCGAAGTGACATTTTTCGATAAAATGATCATGTTGAATATCATCGAGATGCCTTGTGCTAGCTACTTCTTAGTCCTGATGCGTTTTATAATATTAACCTATTCCAAAAAAAGAAGGGAAAATGATTTATCAAGGTAACTAATTTTTCGGTATGTTCACATCTGGGTAACTATTTTTTTTGTACACATCTAGGTAACAAACTTGTTGGAAGTGTTCACATATGACCATTATGACCTGCTGTAGCAGGTTACATCCTCGATGTGAACACTTTTGACAAGTTTGTTACCTAGATGTATACAAAAAAAATCGTTACCCAAATATGAACAAAACGAAAAGTAATAGTAAATTACACGAATGGTCCCTGTGGTTTGGAGGAATTTGTGTTTTTGGTCTCTATTTTATTTTTTTAACTCGGATGGTCCTTATTATTTATTTTTGTTGCGCGTTTGGTCTCTGTCTTACCTAAAAAGACTATTGTGCCCTTATTAATTTATTTTTTTAATTAATTTTCTTATTTATGTATTTATTTTTTATATATTTAAAAAAATTAATAGACCCCACATATCTGTATCTCCTCGGATGATCCCTACTGTTTATTTTTTAATTAATTTATTTTTTTTAACTCGGATGATCCATACTATTTATTTTTGTTATGCGTTTGGTCTCTGTCTTACCTAAAAAGACTATTGTGCCCTTATTAATTAATTTTTTTAATTAATTTTCTTATTTATGTATTTATTCTTTATATATTTAAAAAAATTAATAGACCCTACATATATGTATCTCCTTACCATCACATCCTTCATCCTCCTCAACTTCTATTTATTTTTCATCTTTAGTGATATCAACGTCTTCACCGTCCCTTCTTTTTTCGGTCATTCAACTCCGTCGAATTAACACCACAACCCAGTGAACCCACTAAAGATGAAGAGACAGTGGGTTATGGTGTTGGTTCGCCAGAGTTGAAGGACCAAAAAAAGAAGCATCGTGAAAACGTCGATGTCACTAAAGATGGAAATAAAAAGAAGTTGAGGAGGATGAGAGATAGGATGGTGACCGGTGAGACCAAAATTAAATTTCTCAAATGTGGTTTCAGGTTGACGGTGAGGAGATACAGATATGTGGGGTCTATTAATTTTTTTAAATATATAAAAAATAAATACATAGATAAAAAAACTAATTAAAAAATAAATTAATAAGGGCACAATAGTCTTTTTAGGTAAGACAGGGACCAAACGTGCAACAAAAATAAACAGTAGGGACCATCCGAGTTAAAAAAATAAGTCAGGGACTAAAAACACAAATTCCCCCAAACTACAGGGACCATTCGTGTAATTTACTCTTACTTTTCGTTTTGTTCATATTTTGGTAACTAATTTTTTTGTACACATCTAGGTAACGAACTTGTTGAAAGTGTTTATATCTAGGATGTAACCTGCTACAGCAGGTCATAGTGGTCATATGTGAACACTTTCAACAAGTTTGTTACCTAGATGTGTAGAAAAAAAAAAAGATAGTTACCCAGATGTGAACATACCGAAAAGTTAATTTCCTTGATAAGTCATTTTCCTAAAAAAGAATATCATCGAGATGTATTTAGCCATTTTACTATCGAGAATTAAACAATTCAAAAATAGTTTTACGAATCATGAATATCACAAAAGACATTAACTTTACATCAAAATTCTAATTTGATACTGTGTTTTTTTTGTCTCAAATTTGACACTGTGTTTTCTAATTTTTTATAATTCTGACCACTTGACCGGTCAACCCGGTTACCTGCTGACGTGACATGATGACGTGTCGGTTTTAATGACATGGCATGCTAACATTACATGCTAACGTGTCAAAATTGATTTTTTTTTTGCACAAAAGACACTAAGTTTTTATTTTTTTCGATTTTGACATTAAGTTTAATTTTTTTTTTTCAATTTTGACTCTCTGTTTTTTTGTTCCAAATCAAACATCATTTTTTTTCAATTTTGTTCAATGTTGACCATTTCCATTTGAAACCATATAAATATCTTTTTAATACATTTTAAACCATATAAATATTTTTTTTTCATTTAAAAACTCTATTTTTGTATAAATAGAAGGTTTTTTTATATTCAAACCATAATTTTATGTATAAATATGCATTAGTTATATAATGAGAACCAAAATAACCATAAGTTTCGAATAAGATCAACAAAATATTATCATTTATCTCATATAAAATATTATTTATTTTATTTTTTGTTGTAGATTTTACACATATTTTTATTCACAGTTAAATAATTTTATTATGTATATATTGATATCTAACGTTCGTTTGAAGCATTGAAGAAGATGTGAGAAATATAGAACAAAATATCAAAATTTAATGAGAATACTAAAATAGATGTAATAATGACGATATTTTATCCTTCATAAATATTTTTGAAAAAAATAAGCTAAAAAACATATGATTTAATGAGAGTCACACCATGAGATTCAAGATGTTCATAATAATATTACGAATAAGATATGAGATGTAATATTTAACGGGTTGCAAACTTGACCTCTGAGCCTTGATCGACTACACGCTTCCAAACCTCCAAACTCATTTAAAGTTGCGTGTTTAATATAAAATATGATTTTTATATAACTAATACACATTTATACATAAAGTTATGGGTAAATGTAAAAAAACATTGTATTTATACAAAAATATGGTTTTTAAATGAAAAAATATATTTATACGGTTTAAAATATATTAAAAAATATTTATATGGTTTCAAATGAAAAATGGTAAACATTGAACAAAATTTGAAAAAAAAAATTATGTTTAATTTGGAACAAAAAAACAGAGTGTCAAAATTGAAAAAAAAAATTAAACTTAGTGTCAAAATCGAAAAAAAAAAGTGAAAACTTAGTGTCTTTTGTGGAAAAAAATTCAGTTTTGACACGTCAACATGTCATGTTAGCATGCCACGTCATCATAACTGACACGTCATCATGCCACATCAGTAGGTAACCGGTTGACCGATCAAGTGATCAGAATTGTAAAAAATTGGAAAACATAGTGTCAAATTTGAGACAAAAAAAAAACACAGTGTCAAATTAGAATATTGGTGTAAACATAGTGTCTTTTGTACTATTTACCCTATCTGAATAACTGATTAATGTTTTTGTGACAACCCGAAATTTCTATCTTGAATAGTTATACAAATCAATCAAGGTTGGACTCGTTTTGCTATCTTCTAGCATTGTTTAGAGTCAATTAGAGCGTTTTAAGCCTAGTACATCCTAGAAATGAGTGTTAGGAAATATCTGCTTGAGTCCATTGTGCACCAAGCAAGCCATAAACTTCATCATGTGGAGTTTACGACCACATCCCATTTACGTCATTGTGCACCAAGCAAGCCATAAACTTCATCATGTGGAGTTTACGGCCACATCCCATGAGTTTACGACCGTAAACTCAAGGTGGCCGTAAACTCATGCCTTAAACATGATGTTCTTTCATTTCTTCCTCATTATTCACCATTATTCACATGAACAATAGGAGTTTACGGCCAAGAGCATCTCCATTGGCTGTAAACCCTTGTTAAGGGTGCTTTTGTTGACCATAAACTCCCTAAAGCTAAGCATTGAACCTAGAACACTTCCTTGATGCTTGTAAGGACTTTAAAACACTTTTTAGCACAAAACTTCTTGAGTTTACGATCGCAAACTCCTAGGGCCGTAAACCCTATGGCCGTAAACACATAGGGCCGTGAACTCTTGGCCGTAAACACCATTGTGTGGCCATTCACCCCTTAGATGCAATCCTTTGAGATTCTAACACTTCAATCTAAGTGTTTCCTAGTTCTTAAGGTGTTTTACTTACATGATTAGTTGTTTAAACACTAATTATATACATATATGTGTCATTATATGCTTATTAGGATCCGTTGTGCTCAAGCCTTCACTTGACACTTAGCATCCTACAATCGATCTTACATTCGTATCACTCACTGCAGGTGAGTTCATACCCCTTTAACTTACCTTTTAAATGATTTTAAATGCTTTTATGGGGGGAATACAAGTACAAACATAATAGTTATTATATCAATCACATGTGATTAATAACTATCAAACATATAGAATTCTTATACTTCAAACTGTGTTTTCAACAAATTGCTTCAAATAGTTTTACAAACTCTTTTATATATGTAAAACTATTTATCAAACTCTTTCAAACTTATATTTTGTCAAAATCATATCTACATAGATATAGTTATATAAGTAGGATTGAAAGGACTTAGGACTGATAGCTCGCCTTACTTCCTGTTCCTTGTTTGGTTGTGGACTTAGGGTATCGGTTGTTTGTCCGAAGGTCGTTTGAATCTTAATTATATATTATGTGTATGTATATAGATATAAAAGTTCATCATTCAATTCAATACCTTTGGGTAGCAAAGGTGTACAAACATGTTCATTCATACAAACAACACTACTAGTAAACTATAATAGGTATAGTTTAGGAAGTCACTAATACTATTACTAGAACAACGAAACATACAAAGAGTCAGTTCATACATGAGTCAATACATACTATAACGAGAAACAATACTCACTATAAAGAGAAACAGATAGAGCATACTATAACGAGAAACAATACATACTACACACTATACACTAGAGAACATACTACATACCAGACAGAGAGAACATACACTACACTAGTACATACTATACAAATACAAGA